CCTGGGTTTGTTAACACCCACTTTTTCCCCCCTGCCTCACCCTGTCACATGTCCCCCCAGAACCATTGGTCCTGTTGTTTTGCCCTCTGGATTGTTTATCGCACTTATATTATCTAAATAGACATGCAGAGATAATAATATGCACAAAAACAAGACAGAGCAAAACAATGCAACAATAGAAAACAAAACAACAACAGACCAACCACAAAAAAGAAAAGCCTATAAATAGTTCAAGGTCTGTTTGTTGACCTTTAGAGTGTTTTCCCGTTGAGTCTGATGGAGTGCCATGCCCTGGCCCCACTGCCCCCTTCATTTATAACTATATCGCTTTAAAATATGATGATGGTATGAGCCCTTAATAAAATGATTTTTTTTTAATTTTAAAAATACGATGATGATAAGGTTAGCATCTGCGTTCTTCTCACCCCTCCCTAAACTCATGCAATGATTGTGAACTCTTTAAAGCCAGCTCTCTGGCATTCTTAGTTTTCCAGATCCATGAACTTGGCAGTTCTTAATAAATATTTGACAAAAGAATGAACCAGAAGCCATAGAAAAGTTCTGGGCTGTCCTGGGGTCTTCTAGTTTTGAGTTGTGTCACATGAGTAAACGGGGATCCCAAAAGTTTTACTTCAGTTATAGCATCAAAGGTGTCTTCACTTGGCAATTCTTCCCCATAGTTTGAATGCCTTCCAGTCACAGATTGAATGAACCCGAGGGGCTCATTTTCGGGTACTATATAAGACAATGCTCCACTGCTGGTCATGTTTCTCACTGACTGATTGTCCAAAAGCTGATTACCAAGTCTTCCTTTCCAGTCTGTCTTAGTCTGAAAGCCCTGCTGAAACCTGTCTACCACGGTTGATCCTGCTGATATTTGAAACACCATTAGCGCAACTTCTAGTATCACAGCAATACTCAACCCATTCTGATATGAAAAAATGACAAACAGATCATTAAAAATGAGAAGAAGCTGCAAACACCCATTAATAATTGGAATATGGCATGTGTTGATATTAATATAGGAAAATTGGAAATCATCAAAAATAAAATGGAATGCATAAGTATCAATATTCTAGGTATTAATGAGATGAAATGGCCATTTTGAATAGTACAACCATATGGTCGACTATGCCAGGATTGACAAATTGGAAAGGAATAAGGTTTCATTAATCATCAAAAAGAATATTTCAAGATTTATCCTGAAGTATGATGCTGTCAGCGAGGAAATATTCATCACCGACAAGGACAACCAGTTAATATGGCCATTACTCAAGCTGTCATATGCTCCAATCACTGATGTCAAAGATGGAGAAATAGAGGTTTTTGTTTTGTTTTGTTTATTACCAACTTCTGAAATTGTTTCAACACACAGTCAAGATTCCAGTGGTTGGAATGTAAAAGCTGGAAACAAAGAAGGCCTTGGAGATAGTAGTGCTGCAGATTGCATGATAAAATTTTGCAAAACCAATGAATTATTAATCACAAATGCTTTTTCCCCACAACGTAAATGGTGACTATACATGTGGAACCCACCTAATGGAATTCACAAGAATCTAGAAGATTACATCTATGGAAAAAGATAATGGAGAAGTTCAATATCATCAGTAAGAATAAGATCAGGGGCAGATTGTGAAACAGACGGCCAATTGCTCATGTGAAAGCTCAAGTTGAAGATGAAGAAAATGAAAACAAGTCTGTGAGAGCCAAAGCATGACCTTGAGAATATCCCACCTGAATTTAAAGACCTTCTCAAAAATATGTTTGATGCA